TGATTTGGATCGTTGTTTTCATTAAGTTTTGATTTTAGAAAATCAAAACTTCGAAGTTTTATTATTATTTCAAGTTCTCTAGGGAAGAAAAACGAAGTAGACTTCAAATTTCCGAAAAATATTCCTACAGGAAAAAGTTCACTAATTGATTGAAGCCAGTCATCCATATAGAATTTTCTAATATATCGATGAAATAAAAATTGTGGTCAATCCTTCAGCACTCCGAACTATTGCTTACGAGTCAGCTGGTAGCGTCACTAATAGCTGTTCATATTGTGCCAATAAACCTTCCACCACCGCCGTATGGAAGGCTTCCAGACCTGCTAATGTTGCCTTTCTTCTTCCATAACTCGGACTCTTATAATCCGGTCGTTTCTAAAAAATGTGAACAAACGTATGTATATATGTATATATGTATATATATATATATATATACGTTTGTTCATATTTCTTATATATAACCACTTACAAACTTACAGTTCAGAAAAAAACAATATAGTCTTTATTATGATGCCCTCAGGAAAGCCAATCAATCCAGCAACAATAATAACAATTACGACGACAACAAAAACAACAACGACAACAACGACAATGGTACCAGTGACAACAACAATAGTAACAGTAACATACGACAACAGCAAAAGCAAGGATAACGGAAGGATAATAAAATAAGAATAATGCCATATAAATTTTTTCTTTATATCATTAAAATGTGTGAAAATGATAAAAATTTCAATATTAGATTACTATTTCATTTATAAGATTTAAATTTATGGAAATTCCAGTTATATATAATTATTGATTATCGCCATCATATATCTTACTAAAATAATATAATGCTTAGTCCAGTAATTGTATTTAGTTATGTAATTAAATGCAATTATTTCAATTAATGTTTTACCTCGGGAACACCGATCCGTCGACATGCTGCCAAAAAACTATCAACGTTACGCCGACATTTTGGTGGTGACAATGGCAACTATAAAAAGAAATTAATTTTTCTTTGAGTTTTTTACTTTGTGGGATATCACAAAGTAACAAAAATTGAAATTTTTTAACAGAGGAAGCGATATTTAACAAAGAAATTTATAATATATAAGAAATTAAAATTAAACAATTACTCGTCCGAGATTTATCACTATTTATATGAGTACTCGTAACTTTTAATGATTATTTATTTGAGTAGATATGTGATTTGTGTTGTAGTTCATAAATTTAAGCCAAACAGATAAATGATTCAAAATGAGTTGGAAAATTTCACGAAGTAAAGTGAACTGAAAATTATTTACCTCTTCGGAAACTGGCGTGAACAAACTATGCACCGCACGTAAACGTATTCGATTGGCAAAATTACATAATTTAACACCATCAGCTAATGTAGCTGACAGTTCCGATCGTCCTGATGGCAGTGTTATATTTAAACGACCTTCGAGAATCTAAAATTATAAAATTCATAAAAAATAATTTATCAAAGTTTTCAAATTACAAATTGAGCAAAATTAGCTGATAATAATTGGAAAAAATAACAGTATTGTGCTAATAAAAAATGACGCATTGTGGTAAGATCATACAAGTTTACTTTGCAGTTAAGTACTGATACTTGCGGTTTTTGAATTTCTTTCTTCGTTTTATTATTTTAATAAAAATTTTTAAGATTTACAAGGAATTCCAAACTTACATAGTTATTTCCAGTCTATTAGTCTCATCACACAATCACTGCAGTGTATCTCTTTATATGACTTATCATCTAGCAGACTTCAATCAACCGGAAGTACCGATAATCAATCAGCAGCTTTTAATTTAAAAATAAAAAATAAAAGTGTTTCTCCAAGAAAGCTTGCCTTACGCATATTTTCCACAATATTACCAGTTCCACTTATCGTTGTATGATTGATAGGTGAACGATGCAATCTGGTACGTTGTGTCTTCGTTGTAGCATTTGCAATTGATTTTGATTCTGAACAAAAACGTTAAAGGTTTAAATTTAAAATTAAACTGAACTTTAATATTTGAAAATACTGAAAGATTTGAATTCGGAAAAAAATAAAACTAGCAAAAAGGATCACTTCTTCAAGACTAATAACAACTATGATTATTGTGGTAAGACTTAAAAGTTTTAAAAATATAATTGTAATTGATTTTTACTAATATTATCAATAAATATATGCATTAGTGAGAAACTAACTTGTCAGTGATGACATATTATCATTCACACGTGAATTAGTTAAACATGTAGAAACAGAATGACGTTTATCAGTGATAGTTCGATTAGATGATGATTGACTTGTTGTTGATGAACATAAAGTTGATGTAGCAGACTTGCTTGAAGACATGATACGCTCACCTTTGACTGGTGATACATGTGAAATCTAAAATTTTAAATTTGAAACTTGATAAAGTGATAATTTAAACAAGAAAATTTGACGAATCATCATTAAGTTAAGGTTTAATGACAACTATTGGATATTTTTTGCTGGTGTTGCTGAATATATTTTGTAAGCAAAGCAAACTTTCTATTTGAAGAATTCAAGTTAAACAAATTATCCCACATGCTTTCATCCGAATTTCTAAAAAAAATTTCATTTGATCGATTGTACTAGAGAGGAAAATCAATCATACATTAATATAATACCAATACTATACTAAAATTACTTACTGCAATGGAAGATGATACTGTATCCGATGGTACAATGAAACGTGTTGTTGTCTCGGAAGCACTTACATTTCCGGTTGATGACGAAATGGATGCAACCATTGAAACGGAATCTATGGTTAGATAACTATTATTACCTGTAATTTGATGAAATATTTTTTTGTCAAATTTCATGTTATTTTATTGAACTTCAAAGTACATTTTAATTTTGTTTAAATTTCACTGATTAAACGTACTAATTGAAGTTGACATACATTTAATACAGAAAAAGTAAATTAAATTTGGCAAACAAGTATTGCTGTGCTTTAATATTGTCTAGTTAATACTATCATCTCTTTTTTAGTTCAAATTTATTGAAAATTTTTTCATCAGAAACGGAAAAACAGAGTTGTCTACAAATAGGGTGGAATCAATATTGCATTAATATGATATCATATTATATTAAAATTAATTACGAACCTGATGAGATCGAATCTTCGACAACCGGTGATAAGCATTTCGGACTGTTCTGTTGATGATTGGTGATTGTTAGAAATGATAACATTTTTTGATCATTTGCATTAATGGTGCCTATTTTTTAGTTTCTATCAAATCCGAACTGATAATTGTAGGTAGTGAATCATCGATCATTGTTGTTATATGATGATCCAAAATATCTCGAAAGTTACTGCTGCTACTACTACTTCTAGTACTAGTGATACTACCAGTAGTAGTAATACTACTTATATTACTATTATTGACATCTCTTTTGTATGTTGCTGTGGAACATTGAATGCAATGTTGATTATTTAATCTTTGTTCCTCTTCTTGAAGTGTATTATTGTTTTTGATATCAGGTATCATCCCATTACTTTGTCCTTTATTATCATCCGTTTTTTTGTTTCTGATTCTGAAAAGAAAAGTGTAATATTGACTTTTAAAAATTTTGTTTATTGCATTAATAAATTAAATATGTTGTTCAAAAAGTCAAAAAAGGAAAGAAGAAAACTGACCTTGGTTTCTTGTAGTAACAGGTGCATTGATAGTTACAGTAGTAGTCATCGGTGTAACGATAGCTTGAGGTCTTTGAGTATTAGACGATGATATGGTAGATGAATATAAATTGGTGGATGAGGTAGTAATGATGGAATTATTGGAACATAATTCATGACTGATTGTGGTGTGTTGTTGTTGATACGCTGATAAGTCGTATAATCCACATGGATTTGATGAAGTTGTACTGGCAGCTATCTACAAAAGTGTAATTTAAATTTTTGTTAAACAAATTTGGAATTAAAAATCTGCGAAATTCAACATGCATGTGGAAGGAAAGTTATGAAGAATTCTATGAAAAAGACGAAATGAGGAAAAGTTGACAATTAGTAATTAGTAAATTAGTAAAGACAAATTAGACAGTTAGTAAATTAGTAATAGTAAAATCTCTCATTACTACCCAAATAAGTGTCAAAATAAAAAGATAATTAAGGGTGAAAAAATGTTCCTTTAATCAACTAATCCTTTTCTTTCCTTGTTTTTTTCTTCGATTTGTAAATTTAAAATTGAATTTAAGAATTTAAAAATCTCCATCCAAGTGTATTATAATGGTAATATTCAACATAAGCATCATACAGTAAAGGACTGCGAATGACGAAAGTTTTATTATTATTCCGGTGATCAATATAAAAAGCTATACTCCGGTACTCTGATAAATAATATGAAAAGTTATGTTTCGATTTGGATCAAAAAAAGAACCTAGAAGGTCGTAGTGAATGCATGCAATATTTGAAATTATAATTAAGGAGAAAATGATATGATAAGAAAAAAGAAACATTATCAAGGGATTGAAAAGTGAAGTAGGAATAAGGATAATGAATAGATTGAAAACATGCCTTGAGAAGATATAAAGCAAACTTGGAAGAGTGGAAAATGGAATTTTGATTAAATTTAAACAATTTTATTAAAAATTTGTTTTTATGAATTTCTCGGTAAAATAAAAAAGAAAAAAAAGAAAATGAAAAATCTCGATAAATTTGCAATGATGTATGCTAACAGTACTTATTCATTTCTTTTATCACAGAAAAGAACACAGACTTTTTCTTTTTTTATTTTTTTATCGATCAAATATGAAAGGTCATTGCTGTTACGGTCTGTCATTAGGAAAGGTTGCAAATTAATTTGTTTTATTAATTTGCAATTTCAATTTAAATTTGGAAAATTGGAGCAAAAATTTTAAAAAGTAGAAGTTAATAAGAAAATGTAACAGTCGCTCAAAAGAAGCCACACATTTGTTCAATGATTACTTTGTTTTTTAACTCACCTGATTACAGCTCCAACAACAGATAGATAGAAAGCAATGGTAACAGTATGTAATACTCAGATCAGATAAGATACTACTTTTTTGATTCATTTGTATGGTTATACCATTCCTAAAAAAACCTTTTTCCATTGATTAAATCCGGATAAAGGAAGATATTTCTACTATCATTATAAATTTCATCCGGTTGAAGATATTTCTCCAGTCATTGCAAATTCCATCTGATTGAAGATACTTCTACTATCACTATGGATTTCATCCAGTTGAAGATATTTCTATTATCAATATTAGATATCCAGCATTTTTAAAATCACTTCTGGATGAAAACATTTCTACTACCATAACTAACTGCATTTTTGATTAAATCTGTTGGAAACATTTCTACTATCATTATTAGCAGAGATTACTTTTGGATTGGATAAAGTGACAATAAAGTGACATTTGTGTCATCGTCAACTACAGCTGTTTTTGTCATCAATTTTGTCGAAATCTTACAAATATGCAAAATATTCGAAAGTTTAATTATGAAATACATCTTTAACTCCCTTTGAGAAATAATATTTTCGTAATCCCAACAATTAGCGGTAGTAATAGTATCAATAGCAACAGTTAAGTGATATGCAAATAAAGCGAACGAAAACATGCAAGAAAAATAAGAAAGAAGTGAGTTGTTAAGAGGGTATCTTTTAGCAATGATTTTACTATTACTCACCAAAAAAAGAAAGAAAGAACAAAAAATCAATTTAAGGAAGTGAAAAAGAAAGAATAGGGAAATCAAATCTGTCGTGTTTCCTGTAAAATTTCCGATTTCAAAATAGGAAAAAGTATCGTGATAATAACCATCCTGTTTCAGTCTTATAATTAGGTAAATATCAATTTCTCGAAATAACCTCATGATAACAATTTAAATAATTCTGTTCAATTTATTCTCATCAAATTAATGCTATCAATAGTATAAGATTAAAAAAGGAAACGATAATATCGCCAATTTCTTCGGAATATCCATTGCATTATAATAAATGATATCAGTTTTAGATTTCCCAAACATTTTATAAGAGCTGAAAGTTATAGAAGAAAAAAAGATTGAGCGAAATAAACGATAGCTTTAAGGCTAAAATAAAATGCTAAAATTGAACCTTTTGAGCATACGCATGCATCACTTCCTTTAATAGGTCACCATTACTGTTCTCAGCAGAATTATCCTTTGACTCTAAGCCATTGATTGCGACAATAGCTTCCCAATTGGATGACAATAACTGTTGCTGTTGCTCTTGCCGTTGTTGTTGGTGATAATGATGATGATGCAGTTGATTAGCTTCATTAATATTGAATAAACAGCCAACTTGTGGTTGAAACTATAAAAAGCAAAAAAGAAAAGGTAGAAGAAAAAGTAAAATTGATGATAGAATGGTTGATATGAAGGGTTAAAAAAAGTATACCATTGTGATGGTTATATTTATGATACCTAATGATATAATGATTACAGGGATAATATATCATCTCTAATTGCTTAATCTTTTTCTCTTTTCTTTTTTTTTTTTTTTATTACCTATCATTACATTTAACTTACATTTATGCTACAAATACGTACATGTAACAATACGCACGTAGTACTTTTAATTAGTATTACACTTATACTACACGAGATCTTTTAAATGTTTGCTTTACAAACGAATGCAGGATTAAGAGAAGCAAAAAGTATGAATGTCTAATGAATAAATAAGTTAGGAGCAAAATTAATTTAAACAAAAAGAACTTAAATTGTCTATAACAGTCAAAATTTTGAAATACATTCAATGAAAAGTTGCCGCAAATAGAAGTTTAAAGAAATTACTTCTTTGAAACTTACTTTGTTACTAAAATTTTAATATAGTATTTGTAAGTAAACGTATGTCAGAATGCATTACTCCTTAGTATATTACATCATTTATCATGCAAAAATCGATGTGTAAAGTAACCTCACGAGAATAACGATTTTCATCAGTAGTTGATGCATAACCAGAATCACTACCACCTACAGTATTAAAGCGAGTGGCACGTGATCGCCTTTCAAAACGACGTCCATCACCGATACTTTCTATACTGCAATAACATATATCAAACTTATTTGGGCAATAAAGTTATTAATATGAATTTCGGTACACAATGAATTAATAGAAATACCTGAGTATCAAAAACTGATTCAATTGGTTATTCGCCCTATAACAACCTAAATTACCCTTTTCAGATATTAAATTTGATCATTTCAGTAGTTGAATGCATTGTTTAGAAAAGAATCATTCATTCATTCAAAATCTTACAGAAATTCATTTACAACAAATATCGCAAAAGATGTTATCTCTAATATTCTCAATTATCATGAATATCTCAGGATAAGGTTGCCCAAAAAAAAAAGAAACTTCCAATTTTAGATTTAAACTGCTTCCGTTGTTTGGAAGTATTTACATAGAAAATTTACTTTTGTCCTCTTCTTAATGTTGCATTTATGGTGAGTGGTCGTTTAAATGTATGACTGTATGCTTTCGTTGCATTATCAATTGTTCGTCCAGCGTGTGATCGCAACCATTTAAATGCATGTTCACGACCCTAATAAATAGATATACATTGATTACTTGATGAAAATTTGAAATAAATTTAAATAAATTCAAATTTGAAAATTGAAATGTGTAAAAGAATGTATTAAATAATAGTGACTTATAGTAAAAATTAACACGCTTAATTTGAATATATCTTTTGAAATTAGTGAAAATATTGCATCAGTAAATAGCGATATTAGTATATTAGTAGCTTCAAATAGATTATTAATTGAATCTTTAAATGGGTTATAAATTAATCTAGATTTTGTATAATCAGAATAGGAACTAATATCACCACTGATAATTGCAATTATCATTATCTTATAATCACTGAAAATCACCATTACCGTCATCCTATTTCTATTTTCTGTTTATAATTGTGTATATGCATCCAAGGTATTGATTTGTTACTCTGATATCTTAATAAACTAGAATTCTAGTGGTTAAAGGTTATTTCGACGATATTTCCGGATATACATGGATCGAAACGAAATAGCGTAACATTAGCCATTCATTGGCATTATTAGGTTTTTATCAACATTTCATACTGATAATATGCTTAACTGTTAAAATTTGTTCATCCTGTTTTTCCGGACATGAATCCGGCAAACAACCCATTAATTCTAAAGTTACAAACGAAATCATTTCTCACAAATTATTCAATTGATTAAAAAAATTTACCTTTGAGCAAAGTTTAGCAGGTGGTGCTGTGAGAGGGTTGAAATCGATACAAAAATCGACCAATGTACACATATACCGTATATCGAACGGTAATTCACCGAGCTTATTTTGCGATATATCTAATACTCGTAATTCCAACCGTGAAATTTCTGAAAAAATTTTAAAAGAAGTTTTTGCAAAATTTACCAACAAAAAAAAAAATGACTTTAACAGGAAATTGGCAATATTTATTAAAAGAAGAAGGATAAGTAGATATGAAAGTGTTTTCGTATCGAATGATATGTTGATACTATAACATTCAATATTTAACTTTAAAATTTTGGGACAAATTATAAATTTTGAAATTGTTCCATTCAGACATTCACATGGTTTAATAAAGCGCCATTTTCATAATTGCTTGTAAAAAATTAACAAAAATTTCATACACAGAACAATTCTCACTAGTTTATATCTAATTCTTTTTCGTCACTAAAAAGCACAAAAAAATATGAAATATTTCGATTAATATTTAAAATAAATTTTAGCGGGAAAAAAAATCGAACAAAAATTTAGCAAAATCTTTCTTTTCCAAAATGTTTCTCTTCAGTGGATTATATTTTTTAAAATCAAAAGTGAAAATTATATTGAAATATTATGAAATCATTCGAATTTATTGCAATTATTGCAAAATTACTTTAGTCGGTTTTTTTTCCAATCTTTTCTTTGACAAGTTTTTTTTTTACTTTCAGTTAAAAATTTATCCATTCCCTTTCTAGTCAATGCAAAAATGTGGAATCAATAATAATCCACCAAATTATCTCGGATAACCAAATTATATGGTTAACCATCATCCCTTTCCGCCAGATGGGCGCATTTATCTCGTTTCATGCCGCACATCAATTTCCTGCATCGAAAAGAAGCTTCCCATTTCAGTTTTGGTAATTACATATTTGGTTTGTCATTTATTCAATGGCTATAGCTTTAAATACTTTATTTGAAGCATATCCAAGTATGTTTGCTATTAAAATAATTTTTGGAAGGTCCATTTCTGTTTTTTTATTTTGTTCTTTGCTAAATGACTTCATTTTAGTAAGTTAAGTACCAAAGGAAAAAAGCCAAACAATAAATCTTATCTTCACTTGTCTTTATCACGAAAATATATCAACAAGTAATGCGTATTCTACTGATAATGCAATTGAACAAATGATATGAACAGGTGATATCATATGAAGCAAATTTTAGTCTATAATTTTTACTCTCAAAGAAAATGTACAAATAAATTGGGGACAAAAAAAGGAAAAGAGTGAAATAATTATTCTACATTTTAAATTGAAACGAGAACATTTCGAAAAATATGAAAATAAATTAGGGGAAAACGGGGAAAAAACTGAGTTAATTATTTCATATTTTAAAAGTGAACTGCAAATGTTTCACTAAAATGGAAATATGGGCGATAAATTTTTAGGATGCAGAAATCATTTAAATAATATAGAGTTTTATTGAAATTTAAAATAAGATAAAAGAAAAAAGGGAGAAAGAATATGCGATATAAATTGATTTACTGCTAATTATGGAAATTTACCAGTAAAGAAAAGGATTCATTAGATTCAAGTAGTCATAGATTTAAATAGATATCATGAGAAATCAATCAAAAGACAAAATTAACAACATAATGAACAAATTGATTAATTTAATTTTATTCAATGGGTTGACGATATTCGACCGTAAGACATTTTATGATAATTTTAATCAGAAGGAATAATTTATTTGCCAAAATAAGTATAGAATATCATTTTCAGTAAAAAATAATCAAATCTTTAATCACTGCACAAAATTTTTTATGCTATCCCATTGTTCAGCACGTTTGGATTGGTCAATGTGAGCTACTTAATTAATTTTAGTAATTTCACTTTTTCCCCTTCTCTTTTCATACTAACAAACTAACAAAAATACCTTTCTAATAATACGACCTATTGAAATGTGTGCTATGTGTGTGTGTGTGTGTGTGTGTGTGTGTACGTGTATGTGCTGTGTGTGTGTGTGTGTGTTGTGTGCGTGCATGTGTGTGTGCCCTTCCCTTTTAAAATAATCGAGGTCACATAATTTTTTAATTCATTAGAAATAATTTAATAAACCTGAAGGCAAATGAGTCAGCTGATTATCTCGCACATTGAGCACTCGTAGCGATTTTAATAAGGCAATATCAGCCGGCAAACTTTTCAGCTTATTACAACTTGCATCCTGCAAATATATTTCAACGAAATTGAGCCATCCAATTCATCACATTTTTAGCAATATTTCAAGACATTCAAGAAAAAAAATGAAAAAAAAAAATAGGAAATGATAAATTAGTCGTAAAATGTAAAAGAAAACTTTCAATTTGGACTATGCGACTTCGTTTCATTAATAATTCGCGCAAAATTTTTCTTAATTGACCAGAAGCAACGTCAAATCCGTTCACAAAATGGATAAATTTATAGTAACACTATTTGAGAAAAAATACAAACACTATGATCATCATATTAAATTGATATAATTATAATATCTAAGAGCATATTAAAAAGATTAAAATTATCATACCAATTCACGTAATGAATTCGAAAGCTGTCGAATTTCTCGTGGGATGTACTCCAATCGATTACCCGTTAAAAGCAGAATTTGTAGAGGTATAGAAAATAGAGCTGATGGGATGTTCATCAATTGATTACCACTGTAAAAGAAAAAGGAAACATTCATTTGACTGACAAAAAAAGGGAAAGTTTTCTAATTTACACTTTTTCATCTTGTGAAATTAACAAAATTTACATTTCATTCCCGCATGGGTCAGCATAACAATATTATCATTATCATTACCATTATCATTGTCATCATCGTTATCATTATTATTATCATTACTATTGTTTATTGTTTATTGTTTATTGTTTATTGTTTATTATTATTATTATTATTATTATTACTTATTATTATTACTATTATTATTACTATTACTATTATTATTATTATTATTATTACTATTATTACTATTATTATTATTATTATTATTATTATTATTATTATTATTATTATTATTATTATTATTATTATTATTATTATTATTATTATTATTATT